CAGGATGATAATAATAATTAATGGACTTTAATAATCATTAAAAATTCTTTTAGTTATTCGTTTTGTCGATCGTTTGTCAATTAAAATATATGTATCTTTCATTCGTAATATACATTTTGCAGAGATTGTATAGTCAGAATAATCTAAAACATCTTTTACATATCTTTTTAGTATCTTTAAAATGTGATAGGATGGCAATACAACCACAATAGTAAAAAATTAATTGAAAAATAAATAAAATTGTACTTTTCTCCTTTTAATCCTTAATATGGTAAAACAGTGTGGGTAATATACGTGAAGATTCAATTATAATAGCAGAGTAAGTGTCTGAAGTAAATAGATGCAAATTATCGTTAACAAATATGACTATACATTAAAATATTCTTAGTAACAAAATCTAACACTTTGCATACCAGTTTTTAACTTTTCTCGGTTCCTTTCGTCCGTTAAATACGAACACCAATAGTATTCATAACTTTTGTGAAGAACATTTAACATTATACATATGTATGTATTGCCAAATTTGATTACATATATCGTTTAGAATTCCAACAGACCCGTTATCAACCTGTCAAACTAATAAAGCGCTCGTCAAACCTTGCCGCCGCTTAGCCAACTTTTACAAATGCATGTCTTAAATTGCGACGAGAACGATAAAAGCTAACTACCCAATTGGCTTGCCTATTAGTGCCAAAATGAACGCGAAAAATCTATCAACCGCATTACTCCTTTTATTGACGAGTCTATTATGGTATGATGAAGAGATTGTGAAAGTTCAAACGCCCTTAGGTCGTATAAGTGTTCATCGTATTGCAAGTCAGTATGGTAATAAGTACGATGTACGCCCAGCCGCCCATCGGAAGGCTCCGATTCGCAGTACGTTGATCGACACTGTTAAAATTAGATGGCGGACTTTTATGCAAAATAAAACTTTAATGAGTGAATTTAATAGATGGAAGAAAAATTCAGATTTCCTTTATTCTTTGAAAATACGTGCTTGTTTGAGATGTCCGAGAA